ACTTATATAAGTACGGAGGAGGGTTCGAAGGGTTAAGGGTTATGTGGCTGCAGTGCTAGTCTGAGTTTACGTCGTCTGTCTAAAGGCCAATGGATAGATAGATCTACTGGGCGGAAATAGCGGTGTCTACTACATGCTCTAGTTTGATCGGCATGGTCTAGAGTGGATTATCTGTGAAAAATGGGTAGTCCTGGTTATATTGGTGGTTCTCTGCTGCTCATGGATTCTTGGTCAATTAATCTAAACTATGGTAAAATTACTAAGGATATGGTATTTGAAGAGAGAAGAGAGACCATTTTGTCTCTACATGCTATAGAAATGCAGTGCCTATAAACCAACGCCGTGTGAACAGAAATAGACTTGGTCTCTCGCTCTAAGGCATTTCGCTCCCATCTCGACACAATACTCCATGTGCATTCTTCTGGAAATGACGCTTGGCCGTGAATCGCCTGGCCTTCAGAAACTCATAATCGGGCATTGCCTCGCGAACCAACCGTTCAAGTCTTTTTCCAGCTCGCTCGCCAAACTCGCTACACCACTTCTTGGCCTCCAGTTCAATATCAATATGTCCCGCGATCTTATCAGCGACAATGCCCCCCGATGCCAGCAACGTACTGAGGTATCGCTTGGTAAAAGTGTCCATGTGAGACAGCTGCTGCTTACTCACCGGCGTCCACGAGCTGTTCAAGAGCGACGGGTCCATGCCCAGTAATTGACAGTACTCACTCACCAGCCCCGGGTCCGTCATGATGTCGTCTGCGTCCAGCACAATCGGCCAGCCTGCACGGTTCCCCTGCCACACATACCAGTCGTAGAGATTCCGGGTCCAGTGCATCGTCATGCAATGCTCTCCAAGCTGCTCGTCCTCGCACGGGTTGCCCGTGCCCTCGAGCTCCAGCAGCGCCCTATATAGCGACGGGAACGCCAACGCCGGATGACGAATGAGGAAGGTCGGCAGCCAGCTGCGCAGGAACTCGTCCGGAAGGATCGTCTGGTTCCGCAGGAAGCGAGCAGCCTTCTCTTCACACGACTCGGGCAGATGCTGCACCATCCACGACGGCTTGGGGGTGCCGCGGAACGTGAACTTGCTGAGGGTTGTCGGGTCGATGAGGAAATGGACATGTTCTTTGATGAAGACCGAGCATTCGTCCGCGGACGCCTGGTCCAGGTACTCCTGGAACTCGGCGAAGCATTCCTGGTAGCTGCGACGCACCTGCATGATCTCCTCTTCGGTCCAGTCCTCCACCTCTTTTTTGCGAAGCCCCAGCTCGGTTACCAGCTTGACGACCGGGAGGAAGACGTATCCGCCGCGGTCATTGCCGCCTCTCATGTGTGGCTGGTTGTCCAGCCCCAGCATGCGGACGAGCAGGTTGGACCCGGTGCGCGGGTATGTGATGAGGTAGAATCGACGCGGGGTGGATGGTTTCATAGTTCTTCTTCGCCGTGTATAGTATATAGAATAGACCAATGGAGATGGATTTAGCTTGGACTCGCAATCGTGAAGGAGTCTGACGCCATAGAGCTTATATCTACTGACATCTGGGGAGGCGGAAGTATAATCAGTCGTGCAAATTACAAGGGCCCACACACAAGGTAAACACAGGCAGGACTGAGAACGAGAATGAACTCCTATTTGACGCTATTGCCTTGGCTGCTCATGCCGGATGCAAGGGGTAGGAGAGATGAGGCATCATCCCGATATACTTCCAATGTATTCGCAGTCTCGTATGACGGACGGATTCGGCCGGATCTACATTCTCCACAGGACTTACTTCCATAGACATCATATCACTAGAGATGCATCGGAGACTTCGCTTCTTTGGAATTTGCCATTGGAGCTCAACTATGTTGCGTGTTCTTTGTCTGAGGTACTGCATTCTTTTCCATTCTGATTCCTGACATACGTGGTGATCTTCCATACGTCGATCACCTATACGAGCCCACCCTTGTCCCCTAGGCCAGGATGGAATTCTCATGACTGAAGTATGGAGCTGCCATCACACCGCTCCCTACCCTTGCATCTCTTTGCCAGGGTACCTTGCCGTGGGTGATGAATCACTCTGATCTACAGGGTATACACCGACTTTTCCAGCTGTTATGCCAAGTATGACAGCCCTGTCGATGTAACTCTGGGGATGGCATTTTTGGCAGAGATCAAAGCGTAAAAGCAGGAGACATTGCTAACTATAGTCATACTGCCAACAAAAAGCATGAGATAGGCAGATATACATCATCAAGTCTCCGCCGTGGTATATAGCGCTCTTGAGAAGAGTAAGTCATGCTCAGTGAGTGCTCAATAATCACTAAGCCAAGGAGCTTATGAAATAGACCAGTGTACGTACTTGATAAAGCTTTTATTCTATGTATAAGGCGTGTAAAACTCTGCCAAGGAAATCATCGCCTGGCCCGCTTGTTGAAGAGACATAAAGGGCAATTCAAGCCCCCACTGGGTGCCGTCAAGATAGCTACTTATTTCTTCCACTCTATTCACCCGACTTGAAAAAGCAATCATTGCCACCCATAACTTAACCCCTGCAGATCGCTCCTCCGTAGCCGAAAATGGGAGTGGAAGTAAACGGGGAGAGAAGCGCCAAGCTGTGCGATGACACAGCTCTCCGACAGTATCTGACCAAGAGGGATGCCTTGATCCAAGAAGAGAGAAAGCAGCGACATGGTCCGTTTCATGGCCCAAGTTCTCAATTCACGCTTAGTTAGACTGACGCTAACGACCAAGATCAGACCACCATTTCCTCCAGTGTTCTCCGTCCGCAACAGTCGTCCAAGCATGCAACATTGTCTCTGCCATCCGGGCGCGAGAGCTCACGCATGATTTGAGCATGAGCGCTAGGGCTCTAGCGAGGGAGACTACCTCGCCAGGAGCGATGTTCAATCCGGCCAAGAGCCGAGTGCACTCCACCGATCTATGGAAGATAGTGCGTCGGATGCCGAAGGGCTCACTTCTGCATGCGCATCTCGAGGCCCTGTTCGATGTGGACCACTTGGTCACGCAGTGTTTAGCTACCCCCGGGATGTATATTTACGCTAAGAACGCGATCATCTCATCGGTGGATTTCGACAAGGAGCCCTTCTCCTTTCGGTACTGTTCCAAGGGCCCGAAAGGGAAAGGATCAATCTGGACCGTAGACTACGAGTCTGGGTCATTGGTCCCAGTCACTTCTGCGGCGCACGCATTTCCACACGGTGGTGAAGCGGGATTCCGTTCCTGGGTGAAAAAGAGATGTACTATCGGGGCTGACCGTTCTGGCAACGTCCATGATGGAGCGGATGCTGTTTGGGATCGGTTCAAGCAGATCTTTCCCATATTAATCAGCATGGCGTTCTACGAGCCCATCTTCCGCCGCGCCTTACACCGACTGTTTAGAGAACTCGTTGATGATGGGATCCAATACGTGGAGCTCCGCATGGGGTCGGCGATTCCCTTCCAGCGCGAAGCACAAGATACCCCGGATGAGGACCATGGATATCTACTCGAGGTTGTGCGCGAGGAAATCCTGGCGTTCCAACAAACCAAGGTCGGTATGAACTTCTACGGTGCTCGCATCATCTACACAGCGCCCCGGATATCTTCAGAACAAGAGCTAGTGGCTCGGATGGAGCGCTGCATTCATGCAAAACAGCAGTTCCCCCAGCTCATCTGCGGGTTCGACCTCGTGGGGCAAGAAGACCGGAGAGCCCTAGTTGACCTCGTTCCGGTCCTACTGTGGTTTCGTCAACGGTGTGGCGAGGAAGGGGTTGAGATCCCGTTCTTTTTCCACGCGGGCGAATGTCTGGGCGATGGAGATGCAACCGACCATAACCTATTCGATGCAGTCCTGCTGGATTCACGCCGGATAGGCCACGGGCTTTCTCTCTACAAACATCCGCTGTTGATTGATATCGTCAAGGAGAAGAACATTTCGATCGAATGCTGCGTCGTCTCAAACGAGGTCCTGCGTCTCACCAGCTCGATCCAAACGCATCCTCTGCCAGCACTCCTGGCCAGGGGCGTCTCAGTTTGCCTATGCAACGATGATCCGGCGATCTTCGGGCAAGGAATGAGTGGACTGAGCGTCGAATTCTGGCAGACTTTGCAGGGGCTTGAGAACATGGGACTGGCGGGTTTGGCTGCCATGGCTCAGAATTCCATTCGATGGAGCTGTTACGAGGATCTCTCCTCCGAGGAGTGGCAGTCACATCTGCAGAACTCTGAAAGTGAGGGCAATGGGTTGAATGCAATGCGTCTTCGCCAATGGAGGACGCAGTTCGAAGCGTTCTGTCAATGGATTGTGGACGAGTTTGGCCCAAATGGGACATTCAGCTGAGGGCGTGCGCGCCACCATGACTTATTGGATATTGAGGACCAAAGTCCCAATAATGGATTTCTTCTTGTTCTCCCTGCTTTCCTTTACGTAAAAAACAGACAGGATCTTCAAAGATCGTTAGTGTAATCGTATTGGTCGATCAGCGGTAGCTCCCTGGGTTTATGATACGTACAGAACTCTGGACAAGATGCACATTCCACACTGCTTCATGCATGACAAACGAGCCTGATCTGCAAGGAGCGAGGCCAAAAAGTATCACATCCCGGCCTTGACTGAGGAATTGACTAGTCACTCAAGGGGCCATACTAACGGTCAGACTCCGTCGTGGCTGCGGATTCTTTGATTCGCATTTAATCTTTGACTGTCACCGATGCTGAACAGCTACTATCTTGATCCAATTATCCATCATGGCCCCAATTATCGAACAGCTGCCTAACGAGCCGTTATTTGATCACCTCCTGCACTCCTTCACGGCACATCCTCGCCATGTTCTGGTCCATGATCCCAAGAATGGCGTGGAAGCCGACTGCAGCCAGCTCCTGACTGATATACTTCACATGCGCCACCAAATCTTCCAAGCATTGCCCGCATCATCGTTTGACGCCCAGCGCAGAATTGACCCGGAAAACCCATACGTAATCGTTCTCGCTCCGGGCAATTATGACTACATCGTAGCCGCCTTGTCGACACTGGCATGTGGAGGGGCGTTTGCCCCGATTTGTAAGAAAGCGTACCCTAACTATACAAGGAACATTCGGGCACGATCTAATTTGCATGATGGAAAAACAGCCAGTACGTTAGCCCCGGAAGAGGCCTGCCACCTTCTGGAAACGACCAATGCATCATGCATGCTCGTTTCACCCCGATTCGAGGCCCAGGCTCCCAAATCGCGCGCTACTACGCCGCGCGCAACAAGTCCGTCGCCATCATCCCGATTGCAGTCAACAACGCCCCTGCGGCCCCAAGGCCTCTGGTCCGGATTGATCCAGCAATGATGCTGGACCCGACCAGCCCTGGCGTCCTCCTATTCACGTCCGGAACCACCGGCCCCCCAAAGGGTGTGGTGCGCCCCAGACGCGTTTGGTATACCAGCCCGCCGTGTTTTCCGAGCAACCATGTCGTGCTGGCTTTCCGGTCACCACATTGGGTCGGTGCGGCTATGAATCTGATATGGCGGGTCTGGCTGGGACGCGCGTCGAGGTCATCGAAAATGATCCCCGTGTGATATGGGAGTCGTTCTGCACCGCCCGCGTGTCCCATTTCGGCGCACCCGCGCGAACATATGCCCAGTTGATGAAGTACTTCGAGGAGCATATAGATTGCTTACCGGTCGAGCAGCGTAGTCGGTATGTGAAAGGCGTTCGGGCGCTACAGCGGGTCATTGTTTCTGGAGGAGTCACCTGGCCCACAGTCATGGGATTTTGGAGAGAGCTGCTGGGACGCCCATTGAGAAACATGTACAGCTCTACCGAGGTGACTGCAGCCATGGAAACGACGGAAGACTCTGACCCGAACTTAGAGGTAAGTGAATCGTGCGAGGGACGGGATGCAATGCTTCCTGGCTGACCATATACTCCGTCAGCGGTGCATCGGAAAACCTTGCCGTGGCGTCCAAGTCAAACTGTCTGACGGCGACCATGGAGAAATCCTGCTCAAAAGCGCTACTATGTTTACACAGTGAGGCGGAACCAACTTCCCTCCCTTGTGTGTGTGTGGTAGTAACCAAAATGCTAATGGTTAACCGCAGTTATCTCGGCAATGAAGCAGCAACTCGAGCCGTCTTCGACGAGGAAGGATACTACAAATCCGGGGATTTTGGACATCTAGTCGGAGATCAGTATGTGATTGACGGCCGATCTTCCACTGACTGTACGGTATACCCTGTCAATCGTTGCGCGCGTCCGCGTCATTACTAACCAAGGCCAAATTACGGGCAGTCATCCCATATCGCGGGCTTCGGGTACCCGTCCATGAAGTCGAGGCCCGTCTCATCGAGCTCCCATACATTTCAGAAGCCTACGTCTCTCAGCCAGCTTCCATTATATGCGCCAAGTTGCTGCCGTAATCCGCCCAGAGACTTCAAAGGCTGCCGTAAGTCTATCCCAGATTCGAGTCGATCTGCAAGACAAGCTGCAGCGATACAAACTGCCGACGCTCTTGCGCACCTTGCACGACAATGAGCAAGTCCCGGAAACCACGTCAGGCAAACCCTTGCGAAGGAAGATGGAGGAGAAATATTTCTCGCTACCAGAAGAACCGCCATTGCCTGCGGGAGTCGAATTTTGTGATACGGACGTTGGGACAGAAGAAACTCCCCGAAGGGCGTGGGATTGGGGTGGCATGATGTGAGACCCAGATCAATTTCAAGATAGTCTAGCGAAAATATTCTAAGAAGATGACAAAATTGCACGCGTTGTTTGCTTCGGTACCGCCAGTCTAACACCACGAATTACCTTTGCTTAGGTTGGTGTCGCTGAGAATTTGAAGCTTTCAGTCCTGCTCGGAAGACTCCCTTTGCCTCCAACGCTGTCCTTTCCAATATAGAATCCATAGAGTGGGCGAAGCAAGGAACCACAATCCAGCGATGAAGGTCCCCACCCAGCCAATGCCGATGGCATCGATCAATGGCACCGCCGCTGCAACGGCTCCTGCGGCGGCGAGGGACTTGACAGTATTCATAGCGGCCATTGTAGCGGCAGGACGATAGGCATTCAGGTCAATCGCCAGCGTCACTAGGCTGTTGTTAACCCCGGTTGTTGCATTGCCAAAGAGAAACAACAAAACCAGGGGGCCTGCAAGATGCACGTCATAATACATGATCCAACCGTAGCCTATAAGACAGACGCCTGAAAGATATAACGACGGCAATGCTAGCTCCAACCGAACCTTTTCTAGCGGCATGCGACGGAGTTGTTGTGGTGTTTGCTGATTTGGTCGAAGTTCCTCTCCGGCTTTATGCGCATGACGCTTGTAATTCCGATCCACCAGGGTCCCAACATTCCAACGGGTTAGTATACTCCCAGCCGTGAAGGGAAGATAGCATAGGCCAATATGCAAAGGGCGGAGTTGGTATTTCCTCTCCAGGAGAACGGGGAGACTGCTTAATATCGCCTGGGTCCCGCAGAAACAGAGTGCGTTGCAAAGGAGCAGAAGGCTAATATGGCTGTCTAGTAGGATTCCTAACGTAGCAAGAATCCCTGGTCGGCGTCTAGTGGTCACTCGCGTCTCATAATCTGGGGCATGCTGCTTGTCCAGGCGGAGAAATTGCAGGGCACAGCGGTTCCAAGGCTGGGGAGACACACTGCCGTTGCCCACTATGGCTCGACAAGTCTCCCGAAGGAATAGCATAACAACGCAAAGCATGACTCCTGAAAAGATAGAAAGGAACCAGAATATACTTCGCCATCCAAGAAATTGCGTCAAAATGCCTCCAAGAGTTGGCCCGAGCGCTGGGCCGAGATTCATCCCAAGAGAGGAATAGAACATGTATCTGCCTCGCTCTGCCCGGGGAACCACATCGGCGACAGCCGCGTTTGAAATGAGCGATATGTTACTGCTGCCCAAAGCTTGGAAGCATCGTAAAGTGACCAGACCTGCATAGCTGCTCTGGAGTGCTAGTCCAACATTACTACCAATGAAGATGAGTACAGAGGCCAAAAGGACTGGTCGACGTCCATTTTGATCGGAGAAACTGGCAGTTAGCAAGGGCGCAACGCCTTCGACAATCTGCAGATGTTAGCTGCGATGATTAAAGAGGGAGTTGAGTAGATATACCTTGAAAGAGGTTATCGTCAGACTGATCTTGGAGCTTGACACATGCATATCTCTTGCCAGCGGTCCAAGAGCAGGAAAATACATACTGGCCGCGACCGGGGCCAGGAAAGTCACCATGGAGCAGGTGCATATGGTAAAGATCTTCTCCTTTTCCGATAGGATACTAAACAACGGCTGCGGTGGCTCATTAGGAACGCCGCCTGCACCATCTTCGCGCACATCCTCGGTGGTAGGAGTAATGGTTTTGGGCTCTGCAGAGTTCATGACGCCTTTGTCACAATAACATAACACCCAGGTCCATTGTGGTGGTTTTTTTTTCTTCCTTTATAAACGTAATTTGGAATCGGCCTTTGTATTCTCAACCCTTGGGGTTGGATTATCACGACCCCTAGGCAAGGGGGATGCACTATGCAGTCCACCCCTTAAGGTCGGAAATGATCTCCCATAGCCTTGCCTTTTTCCACCAAACCCACTCCAGGGGAATGTTACTCTATATTTCTGTGAGGAGGGCAGGTGTTGCAGCGCTTCCAACAATAGTTTTACTGCATATTTCGAGCCCCTTTTGAGTAGGTACTAGCACATGTCGATATGATTTCCAATGGAGCTTGAAACTTCTTTGGATATGTCCAGAGGGATTAAGTATAAATAGAAATATCACCAGAATTCTGTTCATACTTCAGGCAGTAATTCAATGGACAGCTGTATCCGTACATTTTGTGAACGCTCAGAAGAGACTGAATATGTGAACAAGGTATAGACCTATAAGATCAGTACAGACCGAAGTCAGCTCTCCGGTGGAAGATCATATAAATACACATTCGATATTGCGGAAGAACAGAAGCAGCTCGAAGCGCAGTGTAGCAAGCAATAATGGATGTGTCAGTGGACTCTTAGATTCCTGACGAATGCCACCATGACTATAAACTGCAGGGCCATTCTCGGACTGGGTAGCCGACAAAGCAGATCCGAGGCATTCGAGAGGCAGAGATGTGTCTTCCGGGATTGATTTCCTTGATCTTCACTATATCCCTTTTCCTTCCTCCTTTCCCCTCCGGGCTGGGCATGTACTGGGATTGTTCGGATAATACAGCCGTCAGAAGAGGGCGAGGACCGACCGCATACTCCCACACTGTCTACTCTAGAGAGTGTCATGTATAGCAACGCCCCCCTTGCGTTCCAATCTGCCAAACATAATTCAAGATACCGTTCTCAGTCTGTATCAATTGCGCTGCTGGCCTCTGTACTGGTAGAATCAACACGCAGTTCGTCGGTAGACCCCGAATTGTTCGCTTTCGTTTGATATAAGGAGTCTGGAGGATAGGTATCTCAGTACTGTATACTTGAACCGCCACGATATCAAGTACATAATAGTTCCATTCAGGAGATTTAGATAATGACAAGAACGCGTTCTAGACTAGTCGAGGAGGAGCTTGATCAGATGAAACGAATCAATTGGTTTGATACTGGCCTAATCTGTATCCTTCGTATCCTATCCTTAGGTGTCATCTTTATGCAGAATGAAGATAGAGCTGTTCCTGATGGAAGGATCACGGACAAGAACAGCTTCTGGAGCAGAGCTTTCGCAAGATGAGGATAGATAGATGAGTTGGGTCAACCCGTTCGGCTAAAGGGGAGTCAACGATACTATAGAAGCTGGCTGTCTTGGAATGTTAGGTTAGTAGCGCCAGCATTCCTCTCCATCTGCAGCTAGCTATTCTCTAACTAGTAGCAGACTGTACAGGCTCTGCAGATGTAGAAATGAAACGGAAGGAGTGACAGTCCATAGGGTAGTTGCCGTACGCGCGCTTCTACTACACCTCCCCGAATTGCTTCAACAACGTCGCACCAGAAGCCCTAACAGTATATCTGAACATAACAATGTTGCTATGATAGCCTCAGGAGTTCAGGCCTAGAGTTAGGAGTTTGATACTGAGTGGTGCACTGCTCCTGATGGTGATTTTATTATGACCGATTTATGTCGTCTTGCGTTCTTGAGTTCTTCCCCCCAAGTCAACTTCATCTCAATCAAAGCCATCTCACTAAAAAGCCTCTCTCAGTAAAGAAAGCGCTTCTGATCATCCAAACCTCACACAAGAAACACCTCCACCTCACAAAAACCTCTACATCACAAACCAACGCTACAACAATGAACACCTTCATTGTACTCGTCCTCTGCCTCCTGGCAGTCCCTATGCAGGGCTGTCAGGCCCTACCAATCAATGCCAACAGCGGGGCACACATCTCCTCTGCGGCCTTCGGGCTTGCTTTTGGCCTAGGCTTCGGCTAGGTATTCCTTTGGCGGTGTTGAGAGGAATCCTCATACATCGCCTTGTCCGCCACATCCGATTCCGGCGCCAGAGACAAGAATGGCGTCGGAAGATGGCGATTTCCATACGGGCTCAGCAGGACAAAGAAGAAGCTGAGACCTGTCTTCCCGGGTTTGGGGGTGGCTTGGGGATCACCTGGCCACCAGTCTGGTACGATAACCCTATCGAAGATAGGGCTGAGGGAACTGGCCTTCTAACAGACGTTTATAGTCATATCAAGGACAGCTCGCCGCCCGCAACCCCGGCGACAAGCTTCCGACAATCTTTGAGGAGGATGAATCCTTCTAGTCCCCTTCTGTGGGACACCGGTAGATTGACTGGGGAGGAGGTGGTGGAACCAGCCGGGCGTGTACGGTGGGTGGGTTGGGGTCCCCTTCTGTAAGACAGTACACGTCCGGCTGGGAGGGGAGGAGGGAGGAGGGATATGAATGACTGGGTTTTGTCTTTTTCTTTTTTTGTACATCTTTTTATTGTATATG